CCCGCCTCTCCCCCCAAAACCCGGTTCCAGGCGCATTCTCTCCAGGCCCGGGCGCTCCCTTTTGCAACGAAACCGTTTACTCAACTGGATTAAACCACAACGCTTATCCATTCACTAAAATAGCCAGTTTTTAAAAACTCGCGAGTGTGGTTTGTTGTTGTCGTTTTCGGGTCTACAGTGAAATGACCCTAAAGGTAGTGGCTTGAAGTGCATTCCAAATACAAGCTGCATTTCACTTACACTTTTAAGTATGCCAATCAAGCCCTGTAAGTTGTAAAAACAAAACAAAACAAAAAGCACAGCAATGCGTGGGTTAGGGAACAAACTGAAAATCCGTTTTATTAACCACAGGCGCTGAGGATTAAATCTGTATTGGGTCTGCACGTTATAAAACACAGAGGTAAATTCTTAATTACAGTTAATCAAGCAGATCATTAGCTGCATGATTATGGGGTGGTTTTTTTTTGCCTGCCACGCGTGTGGTTTAAGTGTATTTCCTTATCTGATACGTTTGAGATGCCTTCATGGTACTTTCTGGATGTTAGCAAAGCAGGTTTTCACTTTACGGTGATGAGTACACGCTTTCACTTAAAAAAGCTAACTGAAACCCGGAAAGGCACTCTCTGTCCCCTCCGGCCCCCACCTTCCCCAGCGGAAAAGTAAACAGGGTGGGGGTGGTCGTCACCGTCACCGGAGGGCGGGGGTTCGAGTCTGGGAGAGTTTGGGGGAACACTCAGCGCTGCCTTGACGGATCCAGGTACTTTCCACTGACTGGGGACGCTCTCGAAAATGTTTTTTAAATCTGACCTCCCCCACCCAGCCGTGTGCAGAAACTGCCCACCGTCTCTGGTGAGCAGATCAGACGCTAGCGACCGAAAGGCCTCCTCAACTTACTTTGGAGGGGTTTTTGATTTGTTTCCCGGGGCTGGCACTATTTTAGCACAGTCCCCACTTTACAACTTTCCCCAAAACGGGATTTTTTTTTTTCCAGTTTTCAAAGTGTCATGCTATACATTTGAATATACTAGTATGGTACTGTTTTAACACACATATGTTATATCAAGAGATCAACACGTGAATTTTGTTGATTTTATGAGTCTGAAGGCCAACGGGTTTGTGTGCGTGTGTGTGTGTGTGTGTGTGTGTGTTTTCCCGTCATTAGCTGGCTCTTTTGAGTAAACATTCCTTAATAGGAGGAAGTGATTGCCTGCAGATAGCTCAGAAAACGCTTCCTCACAATCTCCGCTAAAAACAGGTAAAGGAAAAACACCCAACGTGAACTTACTAGATCTGCTTTCAGAAGACTAAGAAAAAAAAAAAGGATTTTAAAATCTCAATCAAAGCATCCGGCTTTGTGAGAAAATGCTAAAGATGTCTAAGCATCGCCGCTCTTTGCATATTGACGCCGCCGCACACGATCGGAGTTTAAAATGATTCCACTTAGCTGAACTGCCTTCAGTAAATTTAAAGACTGTTCACAGAATAATTGGGCCTTTTTCTCCCCTCAGAGTGTTTTGATTATAAGAGTGCAATAAGTAATGAGACAAGTGGAATAAAACAAAGTCTTTCTTTCTATACTATGAAGATTTTGAATAGTACTTGTCAATAAAGCAATTCCTATTGTAATCTTAGGGGAGGGTGGCCTCCACCCCGGAAGGACTGTCTCAGAGATAGTAACCTCATTACAATATGAATGAAAAAGGCCGCCAGCATTGTATCGGGAGAAAACCGATTCACGGGCACCCGGTTTTCTTATCAGCCGTTACTTTTGCGCAGGCACTCACTTGGGATACGTTATACATATAAAAGCGATCCGTTATAACTTCATCGCTATCTCAGAGCGCGCTGGTCAAAGTAAATCCTAACTTGTGCTCTTCTGAAACCTACCTGCCACTCTGAATCCTGCTAGAGTGTCGACTTTTCTTTTTTCCCCTCAAGGCTTATTCTGACCATGTGCTTATTCTGTGAGCAATGAAACGGGGGGGGGGGGGGGGGGGCGGGCGGAGGGAAGTACCCATACCCCAACGTGAAAGCGGGGAAAAAAGTCTCTGGAAGTTTTGGCTCTGGAAGGCCGGAGTGTGGGGTTCATTCCAGACGCCGTGAGCCACATTCCTAACGGTTCCAGGGCGCCTCCGTGCGCGTTCATTACTGTGTCTCTGTTAATCTTGTAGCAAATTTCTTGCTTGATAGCTATCACAATTAGGCAGGAACACAATTATGTTACGACGCACGATTGGATGCGGAAATGCCCTTGTGCTCTGTCTGTGGTTTTCATAACAGTCTGGCAATCTCAAATAAATCTCACTTATCTTTATCGTTATCTTGAGTGTTCCTCAGATAGGAACCCAGGACTTAACCTGCTTAGCGACTGATAATTGATTTCACATTGTTGCAAAGATTCCCCTTCTGGAGGTTTAGTTAATGTCGAGATTTTAATTGCACTCTGGCAAATATTGCATCTGGCTTAATCACTAACTTTCCATCCATAAAAATATTGAAATCGCTTCTGATATTAGTTAAAAGTCAATATTTAGAAGTGAAAATTCAAGCCTCCTTTGCTCTAGGCGACAACAGGGTAAGCATACATTCGGAAACTTGTAAGATGATGAGATATATAATTAGCTTTTATGTTAATTGACTGTTATGAGTTTGTTGTAGGACAATTCTTCATCTAATATGCAGATAGCATTGGCTGTTTAGTTTTATTAGACAATATAATTAGAAAGCTAAAGGAGCTCATTTCGATGAGGAATAATAGAAGCTGATAAATTTCCCAGTGTTCTGTGTATCAGAAGTGAATTCCATCTGGATTTAATCAATAACAGAGATTTCAAGTAGCCTTTGTTTATGGAACTGAAGCCAGCCCACAGATAACAGAACTAATATAGTTTTTCCAGTTACCATCAATTCAGTGTTAAAACAGGTGAATTTCTACAATCAATAAGACCTTGGGGACAAAACTGCAAAGATTTCGGCACAGTTTATCACAAAGACACAGGAAATTTACGTAAATAACATCGCAATTTTACCTGCCGCAACTTGAATAAGGAAAAGAGTCTTTCCTATTCTTACTTATGGACATGTTGTGTTATATCAAGTATATGTTCAGGTTGGGAGGAAAATCGAAAGAATGAAATAAGAACATTTTGATTTGGGGGTAAATTTTCCTACAATTCAAAACTGCGCGAGTTTCGATCACATTTTTTTTTTTTTTTTTAAATTCTGGAGCCTTTTTCCAACTTACCAGGGATAAAACAGAATCAGAGAAAAATTGCGTAATGCACCATCATTGATGAACTCCAAATGGGGTCATCAAACACAATTTGACCTTTTCCTGAAGTTTAAAAAAGCTCTGCTTTCATTGGCAAGCCTAAAAAAGTCTTCCACCAAAAACTTTAATTTTCAAACATTTTAGGTAAAGTGAAAACAAAATGCACTTATCCATATGAAAACGTCGAGACTTTTCAATCTTTTAAACGAATCAGCCCTTCCCACAGTGGAGCCGTGCCCTCCACCGGCGTGCCCCGGAAGGATTTTGCAGATTAAAAAACAACAACAAAAAAAAGTGAATGGAAAAGTGCATGAAAGGAGACGACAGCACC